GCATAAGGAAAAACATCTTTTAACATGGCGACCCCCTAATTCGTCCCAACGTTGGACCCAAATAGATCACATCGCTATCAGCCAACGATGGAGGGGCTCGATAGAAGACTGTCGCTCATTCTGGAGCACATGCCTAGATTCAGATCATGCTCTAGTGCGAGCGCGTATTTGCTTGCGTCTTACTGGACGTAGGAAGGACGCTGCAAGGAAACCTCTTAGCGGCCTACTTAATGATAGTCAAGCTAAGAATATATTTCAGGAACAACTAGGCAAACAGTTAGGCAGCCATATATGTGATGTCCACCCTGATGCAGCATGGAATGATATCCGAAAAGCTGTGGAAACAGCAGTGATATCTGCTAGTAAGGTAAACCAGAAGGTTAGGGAGCAACGCTGGATCTCAGCAGCATCTGTCGCGCAAGCTGACAAGAAGTCTACGCAATGATCGCGAACAGTGGTGGGTAGCGAAAGCAAGAGAGATGGAAAAGGCAGCGGCAATAGGTAATAGCAGACAATTGTTCAGACTCGTTAAGGAAACCGGAATTAGGAACCCGACCGTTAGCGAAACAATCTCAGAGAAAGATGGACATATTATTCATTCTCAATCCAGGAGATTGGATCGATGGACAGAACACTTTATGGATCAGTTCAACTGGCCTTCAGCCACACTTCGGTTTCCCACGATCTCCAGTCAACCTGAATGGCAAGTTAATGTAGGTCCTCCGTCCCTTTACGAAGTTGAAAAAGCCATAAGAAATCTGAAGCGAGGGAGAGCAGCAGGCCCTGACAGGTTTACTCCTGAGATTTTTAAGGATGGTGGTCCAGTATTAGCAATGAGATTAACCGAGGTCTTAGGTAGAATTTGGGAACTGGACGTAATCCCATCTGACTGGTCTCAATCACTGATTGTGCCAGTCTATAAGAAAGGACAAAAGTCCTGTTGTGGCAATCACAGAGGAATCAGTTTGACTAATATAGTGTCTAAAATATTAGCTTCAATAATACTTCGACGCCTAACTAAAGCTCGTGAAGAGCAGACTAGAGAAAACCAGGCTGGTTTTCGACCTGGACGTGGTTGTATAGATCGGATATTCACACTACGTCAGGTTCTAGAACACAGACACACATTCAGATGTCCCACAATGGTAGTATTTCTCGATCTTAAGGCAGCATTCGACTCTATTGATCGTGAGGTTCTATGGCAGTGTTTGTCACTGAAAGGAGTACCAAAGAAGTACATTAACCTTATAAAGGCTCTCTACTCGAACACAACTGGTAGAGTGAGAGCTTATGGCGAACTGTCATCAGAATTGATTACCTCAAGTGGTGTTCGTCAGGGCTGTCCACTCTCCCCATTCTTGTTCAACTTTGTCATTGACGTATTTTTAGCGATAACACTCTCCTCATCTAAATTTCCAGGGGTTGAACTTCTACCAGGAGGTTCACTTGTTGACTTAGAATATGCAGATGACATAGTTCTATTTGGTGAAGACGCTGACAAAATGCAGAGTCTTCTGACCACTCTAAGCAACAATGCAAGCATGTTCGGGATGCGATTCTCTCCCTCGAAATGCAAAATGTTGCTTCAGGATTGGGTTACATCGACACTCGAACTAGTGATAGGGAGTGAAGTAGTTGAGTGTGTCGACCACTTCACTTATCTTGGAAGTCTCATCAGCCCTTGTGGTTTAGTGTGTGACGAAATCTCAGCACGGATACAGAAGGCTCGACTAGCTTTTGCCAACTTGCGTCATTTATGGCGTAGGCGAGATATCCGTCTATCAACCAAAGGACGTGTTTACTGCGCAGCAGTTCGTTCCGTCCTACTTTATGGCAGTGAAACATGGCCGGTAAGAGTAGAGAATATCCGTAGGTTACTAGTATTTGATCATAGGTGTCTTCGAAATATTACTCGTATATCCTGGGACTATCGAGTAAGTAACACAGTTGTTAGGAAACGGGTACTAGGTAAGGATGGCAAGTCAATTGATGAAGTAGTGAAACTTCATCAGTTGAGATGGCTGGGACACGTGTTACGTATGCCCAACGACCGACTGCCTCGATGTGCGATGTTCAGTGGTATAGGAGTAGGTTGGAAGAAAGCTAGGGGCGGCCAAACCAAAACATGGCACAAGTCCTTGAAGTCACTGACAAGTGGTCTGAGTCATGTTGGTAGGTGTAGACTACCTGGTTGGGGACCGCGAGATGACAGCAACCGATGGTTAGAGACGCTGAATGACATGGCTCAAAATCGTTTGCAATGGCGCAGGTGCATCCACTCTATGTGATCTCCCGAATTCTAATCTTCTGAATTCTTCATGTCCCTTTTTTCCTCTTTGCAAATTTATTTCACTGGATTATACTCTTTAAATAACATCTTCAAACCCTAATCTTCCCGATTACTGCTTATACTCTTGCTACCTCTACCACTACGGGATTTGAATCGACAAGTGCATCTCTGTGCTAATGTGGTGTGGCAACTCGAACTGATGTACATACGTACTAAGTTCTACGTTGTTACTGACTGACTGACTGACTGTAGCAGTTCAATGTTACTTACAGTAATGTCAATTATATTGTTAAGGAAAATATGGTGAATTAACTAAATAAAACTTATCTTTACAAGGTTATCTATATTAAACATGAACAAAATTATTTGAACGGATTATATATTGTCAATAATTCTCTATAAATAATTTGTCACAATTATATTCAAGATTTGATTGAATAATGGAAAAAGAGAGTTTTCTCAAGGATCAAAATAGTCAAAAATACTTTTAATGTTCAGGCTAATGAATGGTCATTTAAATGCAAAACTGTTTAAGTGGCCCTATATCTGACTCCAATTAGACCGTATGAATATTATTGAAGTACACATGTCCTCTATCCTCGTACATAATTAATGACTTGATCCACGAGAGTGAATACGTATATTTCACATTATCGTTGATTCATACAAAAGATCGGAAAAGTCAAGAGAAGCGAAATAACACGCACTGAAGAAGGTGAGTGAGCCAACTCCATTTAATCAAGCGTTAATCAATATTTATAGCCAGATACAAATAAGTTACAAACATGTGATAAATAGGATAAGAACACACGCATACGCTCACATAAAAACAGTCGAAATTGATAAGCGAATAATTAACAAGGTCAAAATATGACTCAAGAAGAATGAAGTTAATAAAGTAATACAGTAGATTAATAGTAGTTAAATTCAAAATGATGTTGTCTTACAGTAAAAAGTAAGATGAAAGGAATAAGATGGTGTTAAGTTTGTATTACATTGTTCCTACTCCCGCCCTTTCCACTCTTTTGTATGTTGTTTTGTACTACTTATTTACATTCAGTAAGCAGTTGTATTCCCAACAATTTTTAAACCCATGTTGTGACGCAAGTTGTAGTGTAATATTCTGAAATGTTCACATATATTTATCACGTTTATTATACCTATCATTGTATTTATCACCTTAATTACCGTACCTTAATCACTGCAGATGTTATCCACAGTTTCGTTTAAACGCAACAGTTTCCATATTCCTTTGCTCTTGGTTCGGGTTTCGGTTGTTTGTAAACTGTTATCAAATTTAGACACAGCTATCGGCTGTCTTTTACACTATCGTATGTTATAATTATTCTTTATGTTATTGTTACAGGAAGCCTTTTTATTTTCATGCTTGAAGGACGCGTTTAAATGCCCCAGACACCTCACAAGTTGAGGTTTGTAACTAAATATTGTGTATTATTTAATAAAGAACCGCTATTGTAGACAAATCGTTGTTTCGGAAACTTCGGCTTTGAGCGTATCTCGATCGGGTGATTTGAACGCTTCGATAGATCTAACATATGGTAAATGAAAAGATAGCAATAAATATTAAGAATTGATAGTTAAAACATTTCATTATTACTCTGTTCTTTAAATAAGATGAGTGAAATATTCTGCATTTAAGAAGTGTTGACTCAGATATTTTGCACTCCTAGTATATGTATGAAAATTGTATACAATTACAAAATTAAAGACGTTCATGATTCAACTTAAGTAACACAAGAAGAAAAGACTTGTTGATTTTTATAAAGAACTTTGCTCTCTCTTAAAAGATAGGAATGTGAAAAAGTTCATTAAAAAATATAATCTCACTGCAATCTTGTAAAAGAATAAATGACCACATCAAAAAGTAAGGGAGAAGCAAAGTCATTACGAAGAATTTTGATTCCCAGTTCATGGTAAATCTATGGAGAGCATATATAAGGATTTGTATCATAAAAAACAAGTTTTGTGGTATTACTACAATGTTTAATCATGAATCCATCACTGTCTTTAAAGGTGTTGTAATGACACATTATGAAACGGCAGTAAGTGATCATCATCTCTTCTTAAAATCACGAGAAGTCTTTTCAGAAGATATTACATGAAAAAAAAACAATCAAGGCTTTATGGTTAGATCATTTAGCGCAAAGTACAAAGCAACCTAATTCTTTCTAATGTACTACGAATATTCCCCACTATCTCAAACTCAATTAGAAATAACCAATGCATGGTAATCAGTATATAAAATAAGAGGCTGAAGACAAATAATAGATTACAAGAATTGAATACAAGTATAAAAAGAGTTTGAGAGGATTTAAATATATTTTTTTGTATTGAAATACATTTTAATTTCAACAAGAACATTGAGGGACATGATTGGGAGGGAATAATGAAAATATAACTCTAATAATGCCATCTCAATATCATCTCTTAGAATTCCTACTAAAGCTACTAATATTAAGTGTAATGCGATTAACTACTCATAAGTAGATTATCTTTTTTGATGAAGATTATTGTTTCGGTGTTTCATTTAAGATCATACAGTATGTAGAATATATATGATAATAGTACTTTATTTATCAAGTCATTGGGTATTTTAAACAAAACACACGTGATAAGGTATTATTTGGATAAAAGAGCTGAATAGTTTAAATTGTGATAACTAGCAGGTTTTTTTTGTATTTCATACAAAATGACTAGTGGTACATCAGAAAAATCATTGAAACAAGAGAGTAGAAATGTTGGAAATTATGAAAATAAAAATGCCATTGATGCAAATTATGAAATTAGATATTGGACAAGAATACAAAATCACAATGTAAACAAAATGAAAAGAAGTGAGAATAGCACACATGTAACTGGAAAAAATTCTTGTATTGAAACTGATTTTAAACGAGAAATGAAACGTTATTATGTCGGTTTGAAACAAAATCTTAATAAAATTGATCGAATACAAGAAGAGGTAAGTGAAGTAATGAGTTTAACTGATTACAATATTTACTTTTACCGGTTATCAAATTTTTATGATGATATTTATTTTGATTGTATAACATAAGCAGTGTAATTGTATAAAGTCCTATGAGACCGCTAAATAATACTGATATTATAGGGTGTTGTAGATATTAGTGGATTTGGAATTTTACATTACGAACTGACTTTGATTAGAAACTATTCAAAACCAGAAGGTGCCAGAAAGCTGTTTCTTCCAAGTATGAACTTCCTTTACAATCCTGGTTCACAAACCAATCATTGTTTGAAATCAATATATTCAAGACATGTGACAGCCATTGAAGTAATTATCCATTACTGACCATTTGAATATCTGATAGTTCATTTCTTATTCTCGTCTCTTTAACTGAACACACTCTTTACTCTATAGTAAACTGCTAAGTATTGGCATACTACAAAGAAAGTTATTCAGTTTGTTACATCCTTGATCTGTCTACCCACTTTTGGTGCTGGGGATACTTGTTTAATCTAGATTAAGACCTTGACGCGATAGGCTGACCGGCTTAACCTTGAGGCTAGTATGCGTGAGTTCGAAATGGGGTAGAGAGAAGAAAACTATTCTATCACTTGATTGTCTGACAAACACGCAAGTGAGAGAAGACAAGTCAACTGGAACACTACTCGATTTTATTCTCAATTCCGATCTGGTTCCCGATTTCAGATCAGTGTGAAAAGAAACATGTATTCATGGATAACTAACCCGACCACAACGTACAATAATTAGGAAAATACAAATATGTCCAAAACTGGAGATTACCGTAGAAAATAGAGTACAAAATAATATGTGTAAATTACAATAGCTTTGGAACAAAAAGGGCTATAGTAGTGAATCATACATCAAACGAAAGCTTATGTTCTGTGGAATAGATTAGAGACAAAAATAGATATTAATATTTTACAAGCTTTGAATGAAATGAAATAACGTCCCCAAAAATAGCTCCCGTAGTTTGTCAAGGCTTCTTGTTTCTCTGTTCACATCACAGTTCTTTATTGTTTTTAAATGTTTCTCAGTCAAATTTATTTAAAACACAATATAATGGGAATTTTTCAGCCATCAAATTTATTTCATGATCAATATTACTTTCTTAATATTATTTACAAATTTTACAAAAATATAATTCTATGACCATTACTAATGTATATCAGTTTATTCGTATGGGAAAACATTACCAAGTTAACAATTAGGCCATGTACCTACTGTTGATAGTAAATGATGTTTACTCTATATCGGGAGTCCATTGAAGTTGAAAATCTAGACCAGTACTTTTAAACATAGTGAGTGTCACTTAAAAGATTCAACGATTTTTATTGATGAAGACTCCTAAACGTTGATTAGAATCGTATCATTTTTAGGAGAGCTATCTTAACAAACTATTTAACTGATCATAAAAATAAACAATGAATTGGTAGTCATTTTACATCACTTCATTGAATAAACAAGGATCCTGTATCAAAAGTGATTTAAGTCACTATTGTCTACAAAACCGACTATGTAAAGTGAAAATATTCTCAGGATGTATCCTTAAAAGAAGTTTTCATAAATAATGGAATGACATGAAAGACTGTTGTTTTCTAAATTACAAGTACATACTTTTGACTATGATTTTAACTTAAATATTAGAAATTTTTTTATTTAGCTTGAATATTTCCCCAATTAAAACGATCGTGTTTGAAAAAGTACAAACTAAATAACAATCAGATAGGTTGAAATCATGAGTCAATTGGAGCTAGACCACCATGAAAAACCTGGAAGCACTGGACGGCCGTTTCGTCCTAGTATGAGACTGATAGGCCCTTGGTTCGAATCTCGCGGGGGGAGGGATCGTGGGTGTGCACTGTCGAGGAGTCCCATGCTAGGAAGAAACGGCCGTCCAGTGCTTCCAGATTTTTCATGGTGGGCTAGCTTCAATTGACTCATGATTTCAATCAGTGAAATTTCTAAAAAATCTCCACAAAACCCATTCTGATAACAATCAGATAGTGAAAATTAATAATTCATACAAAATTTCATCCAGCTTTGATTATAATCCACCAATCAAATTCTTAGAAAGCAACCACCAATCAAATTCAATGGTATTATTATAAGTTTTCCATGAATAATGCTCTTACCTGCTCTACTGACTCAGTAGGTAACTTCATTTCAGATAGTAAGTGATAACTCAAGATGTTCTTGTTTAACAAGATACGGAAATAAGTTTTTAACAGTTTGTCATTTAATCAAACATTAATATGGATCATAGAACAGTAGAATTTCATATAGATAAGATAGATTTCTAGTTGAATTATCCAATCACATTATGGTGGATGAACTTAAGTTCTATCCATTATAGTTTGTTTTTAGTACATTTGTAATGACATGAAGCTTCGTTTGAATTTTAATTTATTTATTCGAGATCATTTTTATCATTAAAAGTTTGAGTGATATGAAATTATATTGTTCAATTTCCATCTCTGGATCAGCTGATCAAACAAATTGTTTTGACCTTAATAAGGACATTTTGTCTACATCAATAAAGTCTTTATTAATGCTATGATCTATCGTTATAAAATGAAACAAGCTCATAATTAAATAATGTGAAACAGCAAAAAAACAATTTTTCAGGGTCATCTGGATGTACTCTCATGAAAAAATCAATAATTTGTGGATGATATTCAATACAGAAAAGAACGCAACTTTAATGTAATAAGATTAATTGTTGAGTGACTTTGAATTCATTAGCTTTTGATAATGTTTATCATCACCAGTTGTATGAAGAAGCATTCAACAGTTTTTTTCGTATATAGTACATAATTAGTATGCCCTAACGACTCCTTCGGAGATCAAACTAAAGACCTACATGGCTTACATTTAAATTTTGGACTTAAAATTGCATTAATCAGTACGTTGACACGACTGTTAGCAGAAATGTGACTATTTATTACAAAGTAAGACTGAACAAAAATTTCATAAATCTCTACCACCCACTCACTACTAAGGGTTATATAATCAGCAACATTACTAAGCTGTTCACGAATACAGGGAGTGTATTCAATAAATCTAATATGTTTGTTATCATTGAATGTTCAAAGAGAAAGAAACAATGTCATGACGATAATTACTGATGTTATTACTCTTACTATTAAAGTAATGTTATGTCCATTGAGTATAAAATAAAAATACAACATCCTTTCAGTGTTCAATATCAAATAAAAATATCATCTACAAAAGGAATTACACTAATTGCAGAAAACGTTGTATTGTACAAGGTAGATATCCAATCACCTATGTATACAAGAACATAAACTAGCTACAGGGTAACATAACATGTTATTGCTCAGATCAATGCACAAAGGTAACCACAGACATAAATTTCAAATCAAGGAAAATTCAAAGAATGCCAGAAAATGTTTGAAAGTATGGGATTTAGATCAGTTTGTAACCAGTAGTCATATTAGTATAAATTATATTTACCAATCTGTATGGAAGAAATCAATCAATCATGTAACCAAAGGTCAACTAAAAAAGATTAAAGTAAATGTAAAGACAAATAAAGTTGAAGACACCTCCGAATATAACCATTCCATGATAAGATCACCAGGACAAGCGGATTTAGAGCTTAAGAATTAGTCAAAAAGACCAATTCTATGTGAAGTTAGTTCTGACATTGTTGTCTAGATTGAAAAGAGCAAGAACAAAGATTCTAGCAGAATAGCATGAATTCATTTTATTTCGTAGGTTCTCGTCAGCTGCTTACAACCTGTGATATTTAAAAATCATAATTACATAATGAGTTTAAATTACTTACTGAATATTGTAAATATATACCTAATGTGAAAGAATATTCTACAACATTAATTGTGACAACAGTTCAAAAGTGGGTTAGAAACAATCGATTACATAATGAATAACATTGAAGGAATGTAGTGAGTAGAGTTCAGTTGAAAGATCATTAATTTGAAAGATAATTGAAAAAATAAAATAGAGTCAATGATGTAATAAGTGCAAAAGAAAAAAGAAAAAAGATTTTAAGGTTCAGTGAAGGAATATTTGTCACCAGGGCAAGGAAAGATTAACCACCGTCTCCTTTTGAATACATAGGTCAGGTTTTTGACGCCTGATGGCAATGGCTTCAGCAAACTTCAGAAGACTGGAGTTTGGCTGCTTACTAATCACCCTAAAGGATTGTAAGGTATCTACCTGATGTCCTGTATCAAGGAGATGTTTGGCGATTGCACTGTTCAGAGTCTTTCTTTCCCTTGTTCTAAGACTTTTTGGAACATGTTTAAATAATCTAAGATATGTTCTCCTTTCAGTTCGGGCGATGTAGCTGCTTTGGCAGATACACGTAAATTTATAAATACAGTTGGCGGTAACCTGAAAGGGTTGCTTGTCGATCTTTGATTGGGTTATTGAACATGTTGTTTTATAGAGAATTAAAAGTTTAGCAGCCGGATAAGTTCTGGCTAGCGCTGTATTCAGCCTCTTGTTGATAATTTGTGCGACGTCATCACCTTTAAAGTTAAGATTTATATATACTGGCTTTTTATTGACCATAGTTATTACCGTCTTCTTTTCCTTGGGCCTTTTATATTTGCCAATAAACTTTTGTGGATAAAAGTTTTCTTTTAGACATTTTTCTACGTTCATTAATTCTTCTTCCAGTTTGTCGGTGGTACATATCTTTTCTGCCCTGTAAAATAGTGTTTTAACCAACGCCTTCTTGTAACTAATTGGACAAAAACTATTGAAATTCAGGTAGAGGCCATTCCAATCACTTTTTCTATAAATTGAACGTCGGACTGTCCCGTTTCCCCTGCGTTTTATGGCAACATCTAAAACTGTAACGAAACCATATAGGTCTATGAACTTAGCATAACTGAAAACATTCACCTGAATTATAGGTCTTTTCTATATCATTTTAAAATAACTCTCACTAGGAACTCATTTTACGTAGAGAATTCGTAGAAATTGAA